CTACACTCATCTCTGAGGGATGAACATGGTCACAGAAGTCACTCATTTTCTCACCATCTTGCCTTGAAAGTTTGCACTGTGCATCGCAAGAACACTCTTGTGGGAGATACTTATTCACCATTAGCACAATTCCTGGATGTTTAGATAATTTTAGATCCATCTACTATTAAGTAGTGTTCACAAATTAATATTTTGACCATATGCACTGTATGATTATATGCATTTCAATTAATCTATTATTGAATTATATTAGCGCTGCATGTTCGTTTGATATGTTAAGTGTTCTTGCATGGCGACCACTTACTGTTATCTCACATATATATTCTTATTATTATAGCCAAATTTACCACCCTAACTCCTCCCACAGTTTTTTACACTACATAGACAGTAATATACCGAAACGTGCGGATTGTTCCCGATTGGTGTGCTATTACATTGTGGAATGTTTCGCCGAATGGTTCACAAAATATCAGCGTTTTTGTGGTGAAATTGGTACCATAGAAATCAACGAATGAATGTTCAAAACTAGAGTGGGAGCTGACAAAAGCTAGAGTGTGAGATGAAAAATCAGGACATGATTTCTAAACTGCCATCACTCCCTCATTTTCAAGCCCACCTTCACAAATATATCAAAACGTTCAGCTATCCTTGCTGCCACTAAAAATGTCCATGGCTAAGCCATAATCCTGATAGTTTTCACAATATGACCATTTGTTTGTAACTCACGCCGCCCATTGACATTCATTGAAACTCCACTCTAGCCACCTCAAATTTGAAGGGCAATTTCTAAACTGCGACTGTGCCTTCATTTTTAATATTTCAGAGACATACTATGCATCAAATGTAGGTCTGGGTCTTGTGATTCTCACAATATAAAGCTCTTCGGAGCAGGATTTATAATTTTTAAACTACAACCGTTTAAAGATGGCAACCTCCAGTGAAGTGAACAAGTTGGAGCAGTTTGTTTTCTCTGCCCTTGCTGTAGAGTGAGTTGCCATAGGAACCCAGGTGTGTGAGCAGGCAACAGAGTGACAATCCACTCCACCCAGTTACTCCGCCCACTCCAGTTGTAGACTACTGGTGGAGGCAAGAACACTTCACACAATTTCCCCAGAAATTGTAGCTTTTCTAGTTCTTGATCTAAGCCTTATACTGAAAATACTACCCTACTGAGCCTCATTCACACCCCAGTGTAGTTAAATGTTTTAATCATGTCTCCCTTTCACCTTCTTTCCATGAAGTGTTTTATTTCTCAGACATTTCAACATTTTTTGCTGCCCATCTCTGTATTCGTTTCTATCTTATCAATATATTTGTAAAAGTGAGGTCTCCAGAATTGAACACAATATTTCATATTAGGTCTAACAAAATATCTATATGGGGGAATAAGGACCTTCTTCCTCTTGCTAGTGATCTCTCTAGTGATAACTAAAGATCTATATAGGGAATCAGGACTTCCTTCTTCCTACTGGTGATCTCTCTAGTGAAAACTAAATATTTTTATAGAGGAATCAGAACCTCCTTTTTCCCTGCTGGTGATCCCTCTAGTACTAAATAAAGATCTACATAAAGGAAGTAAGGTCTTCTTCCTCCTGCTGGTGACCCCTCTAGTAATAACTTAGGATCTATATAGAGGAATCAGGACCTCCTTCCTCCTGCTGGCGATCCCTCTAATGATAACTAAAGATCTATATAGAGGAATCAGGACCTCCTTCCTCCTGCTGGTGACCCCTCTAGTAATAACTTAGGATCTATAGAGAGGAATCAGGACCTTCTTCCTCCTGACTGTGATCCCTCTAGTGATATCTAAAGATCTATATAGAGAAATCAGTTCCTCCTTCCTCCTACTGGTGATCTCTCTGGTGATAAACAAATGTTTATACAGAAGAATCAGGACCTCCCTCCTACTACTGATGATTCCTCCAGTGATACATTCTAGAATTCCAATGTTCACTGCCTGGCCATCTTCTTTGTTCATTGGGCAATTACCTGAAATCAGCACCCCAAATTTGTTTTCCTCTGTATATCTAGCCAACACTTCACCCCGAACATTGTACTCTATCAAAGGATTATTTTTCTCTAAGTGCATTCTTTTACATTTTGAAGCACTGAACTTCAGAATCCTTTGCTGTGACCAACCTTTCAGCAATGCCATATCATGTTCCATGTTACAGAAACCTCCATGGATGTCATCCTTAGCCATCAAACTTTCCATTATATCACTTACAAACAGAGATTATCCATGTGGGTTTGTGATCTTGGCTCCTTTTGTCTTGTTGGCAGCTAGTCAGGAATTTTACTCCCCTATTATACATTCACCAGTCACTTTATTAGGTACACCTTGCTATTCCCAGGTTGGACTCCCTTTTGCCTTCAGAACTGCCTTAATGCTTTGTGGCATAGATTCAACAAGGTGTTGGAAACATTTTGGTCCATATTGACGAGTTACTGTTGCCTTTCTATCATCTTGAACCAGTCTGCCTATTCTCCTCTGACCTCTGACATCAACAAGGCATTTTGTGTCCACCCAACTGCCACGCACTGGATATTTTCTCTTTTCCGGACCATTCTATGTAAACCCTAGAGATGGTTATGCATGAAAATCCCTGTAGATCGGCAGTTTTTGAAATACTCAGACCAGCCCGTGTGTCACCAACAGCCATGACACGTTCAAGGTCACTTAAATCCCCTTTCTTCCCCATTCTGACGCTCAGTTTGAACTTCATCAAGTCCTTGCTGGCATGTGATTGGCTGATTAGCAATTTATGTTACCAAGCAATTGAACAGGTGTACCTAGAGAACATTATATGTCACCTTTGTTTTTAAGGATGTTTATAAAGTTATGATCAGGAACATGGACAAATGTTTTCACTGAACAATTAAAGCAGAATTAAAACCTCCTATCCTTTTCAGCCAAGGAAGCTGTCATCTTAGCCTCTGTATTACTTGTTCTTGCCATGGTGTTGCACGTGATCATTTCTGACATGAGCCGTTTGGTGGTTTGGTTGACAGCACAAGCAAATATGACAGTTAGCATTCTTAGCATGCCAGGAATGTAACTGTTTTTGTAAAACCATTAAATGGGTTTAGTTCTGCTTTAAGAATGCCACAAAAGAGTGAATCACAACAACGTCTTCACCTATTTTCAGGAAAAAATTCTTTAGTGAAATCAAAGGACTTGCTGTGGATGGACTGTCTATATTATTATGGTGTACCTAGCTTCCTACATAAGATTCTAAACTGTAAGAAAATAAACTACCCTCTATACCAGCCAATTAGATTGCAGGTGATATTATTCGATCTGGAGGTTACAGAATTGAATCAAAACTATTATTGAAGAAAACAAAGGCACTTTTCCCTTCCCCAAGATTTTAACCCCCCTGGCGGTATTCCCGAGTGTAGCTCGGGGTAAAGTTTCAGTGCCAAAAGCGGTAACCCCCGAGCTACACTCAGGCTTACCATGCGGCGTTACTCTGGAGGAAGTGGAATGTCCCAGAACTGTCAGTAATAGAACTATTTCTGACAGTTCTGGGACAATCACTCCATACAGCTGTTTAACCGCTGTATGGAGGGAAAGTCAGGAACTGTTCAGGAAATAGCCTATTAATGACAGTTCTGGATGTCCTTCTACAGCGGGGGTCCCTGCAACGCTTACCTTGTCCTTCGCTCCCGCGATGTGTCCCCTGCAGCGTCCCCGGCCATCTCCTCCGGTCGATGCCGGCATCCAGCTTCAGTGTTCCGGTCCCTGTGACGTCGGGACGTACGGCGGGAAATTTTAAATTTTTAGAAAATTTCATTTTTTTAAAAATGATTATTATATAGTAAAACATTGCTGTTTCAATGCATTTCATATACATTTTATCCCGAGTGCTTTGTCCTGCGCCCTGCCTGCATTTTGACTGTTCTTTCTGCCTGGAAACTTAGAAAAGTCCATGGCATCCAAAAAGCGTCCCTTTAGGTCAAAAGCGGTTTTAGACCGGCTAGAGAACAGCGATAGTAAATCAGAACCACTTGCAGAATTGAGTGATAATTTGTGGGGAAATTCGTCATCAGACACTGAAAACGATTTTGCGACTTTGCTCAGCGATGTGAGAACTTGGCGCTATATTTCAAATTTCAGTGTTTTTGGTGGTTTGATTATATTATTGAATTAAATGTATTATTATTATATTATTATTTTTTATGATTATAAATTAAAATTATAATTTTATGATTTTGTGTTTCAAGTTTTATCATACCCGGGATGGTTACTAGACTCTTGTTCGTACAGATTTCAGGGAGTTATTCCTAAAAATTACAGCCTACAATAAAAAACTACATATTTCCATGCAAAAAAATGGTACCTCTTTCAGCACCAAAAATCGGAAATAATCATACCGCCAGGGAGGTTAAACATCCTTGGGGGTCTTTCCACTTCTATCATTAAATTCTTAATAATATAGAATAAAAACACCCAGCGAGAATGATGGGAGATCCTCAATATGGGCACAGCAGGTGTGCAGAGCCAGGAACTCCGGAACACAGGGATTTCACTAATAGAGTCCCTGAGATAAAGAAGAGACTGTCAGGAGGTTTAACTCTCCAGAGTCTTCAAATTTGAAAAACAATTGAACTAACCCCTTTAAGGAAATCATTGGTTTATTGAAAGTCCACAGTACAAATCTTTATTGACAAAAACATAATGGCTTAGGCTGCTTTTTGTTCCTGTGAAACACATTTTTTAGGTCTAAATCTAAATAGAATCAGCATCATTGAAATTATTCAGTATAAAATGCCGATACATAGTGAGAGATTAAAAAAAAAGACTTGGAAAAAGGGAATTCTTGGAGCATGGGGTCTATGGATAAGTAAAATCTTTAACCACCTGCCACCCGCCATACAGTACAATGACAGGCTCAAGGCGGTTCTCTTGTTCTGGGAGGAGGTCATATGACGTTGTCCCATTCTAACCGCGCATTTGCGTCCCCAGGTGCGCGCAGCATGGCGATCGGCAGTGCGTGCTGTGTCCCTCGGACACAGTGGATCACCGATCAACGGAAAGAGCCGAAGATGTCGGCTCGGTCATGTGATCAGCTGTGCCCAATCACAGCTGATCACATGTAAATAGGGAAATGCCGGTTATCGGCATTTCTCTCCTCACGAGTTGTCACACTGACAGAGGAGAGAGAGACAGTAATCGGCATTCCTCAGAGGGAACATCTACACTGATCATCAGGGCACTGATGATCAGTGTGCCCTGATGATCAGTGTAGCCCCAGCAGTGCCACCTGTCAGTGTCCATCAGTGCCAGCTGTCAGTGCTCATCCATGCTACCTGCCAGTGCCCATCAGTGCCACATCAATGCCACATATCAGTGCCCATCTGAGCTGCCTTTCAGTGTCACCCATCAGTGCCAGTCAGTGCCACCTATCAATGCCAGTCAGTGCCTCCTATCAGTGTTGCCAATCAGTGCCACCTATCCTATCAGTGCCCATCAGTGCTCAGTGCCTATCAGTGCCAGTCAGTGCCACCTATCAGTGCCAGTCAGTGCCCTATCAGTGCCACCTATCAGTGCCATATATGAGTGCTGCCTTTCAGTGCCCATCAGTGATGCCTGCCAATGCCCATCAGTGCCACCTACCAGTGCCCCTCATCCTCATCAGTGTCCATCAGTGCAGCCTATCAGTGCTCATCAGTGCAGCCTCATTAGCGCACATCAGTGAAGGAGAAAAATCACTTATTTACAAAATTTTATAACAAAAACTAAGACAAAATGTTTTTTTTTTTAAATTTCAGTGGTTTTTGATTTGTTTAAGAAAAAATAAAAAACCCAGAGGTGATTAAATACCACCAAAATAAAGCTTTGTCTGTCTCAAAAAAATTACAGAAATTTCATACGGGTACAGTGTTGCATGACCGCGCAATTTTCATTCAAAGTGTGATAGCGCTGAAAGCTGAAAATTGACCTGGCCAGGAAGGGGGTATAAGTGGCTAAGGGGGATTTAAAGTTGTACTAAAGGCTCTTAACACCAATACTAATTAATTCCATTTGCACAGCACAAACATCAATGCCTTCCTACATAGTTAAAAAAAAAATGACTATTTTTGACATTATACGAGGTGTGACAATTTAATTCCAGGAATGGCCTGTAAGAAAATGTTTGCTGACCTATTTACTAGCAGCTATTGTCACCTTCAAAGTAGTCCCCTTGTGAAGTGAAGCACTTTTCTAGATGGCTGCGCCAATGCCAGAAACATTCCTGGAATTCGTTTTCCGAAACACTGTTCAGTATCTTTATAGTGGAGCGCTGGTCCGGAATGTCATCAAATCTGTGTCCTTTTAAGGTTTTTTTTTTCATTTTAAACAGTCAAAAGTCGCAGCGTGCTAAGTCAGGAAAATAAGGTGGTTGGTCAACTTTCACAATTGATTTCTGGGCCAGGAACTCACGAACACTTAACGTATCATGTGCAGGAGCATTGTTGTGGTGGAAAATCCACTTGAAGAATTCACTTGTCAGGCCAGAGATTCAGTCTTTTCCTCGGACTAACCTTTTCAGAAATTCTAGGTAACATTGTTGGTTGACTCTTCGTGGACATCTTCTCACCCCTCCTTTTACCACCTATGCCATTCAAAAACATTTGATTTCTTCATAAGTCTGTTGTAACAGAGCTAACGTTTCACTCGCACTTTTACCAAATTTCACGTAACATTTGATGTTAGGCTACTTTCACACTGAATCATAGCAGAAATGCACTAAAAATGCATATTATTATTATTATACAGTATTTATAAAGCGCCAATGGTTCGCTCAGCGCCGTACATTACAAATATGTGATTTTGTTGCGTTTTTAGCGTGTTTGCGATGTGTTTTACACAGAACATTTGACTAAAAAAAACACATCAAAAAGCAATGCGGGTGCATTTTGCTGTGTTTTTTGCTGCATTTTCCATGTGTTTCAATAGAGAGGTGCTTTTCATGGTCACACATTTTTCTTCTATTTTCATATTAAAAGCAGGGGTGGACTGACCATTTGGAAACTCGGGCATTGCCCGAGGGCCCGAGGTCAGTAGGGGGCCCCATGAGATGCCCCTGGTACCTTTTTCATAGGCTTTTTTGAGTTTGGGCAAGGACACAGGGGCCCCATGATCCACTATTGCCCGGGGGCCCCATGAGTTGTCAGTCCGCCCCTGATTAAAAGACAGTTCAGTGTGAAAAGCAGCGTTAAGCCACTGCTTCAGATTACTGTCACTCATTTTCCACCAACAGAGCAAGGTACGCTCATGTTACTTCTACTACTCAATAAAGACTCAGCTGGTCTGAGACCCAGGCAAGTGCAAGTTAGAACATGTCAGAACACATTCGAGTGTGAATGGCTGGGTGACTCCACACCAGGGGCGGACTTACCATTTGGAAACTTGGGCACTGCCCGAGGGCCCGGGGTCAGTAGGGGGCCCCATGAGATACCCCTGGTACCTTTTTCATATGCTTTTTTGAGTTTGAGCAAGGACACAGGGGCCCCATTATCCCCTATTGCCCGGGGGCCCCATGAGTTGTCAGTCCGCCCCTGCTCCACACCATATGGCTATGCTGCAGGCATTCTGGAAATTAAATTGTCACCCCTTGTATACCTGCATCCTCTCCCTATCTGTCCACTGCCAGCGTGCTGCATCATCAAGAAATGTACTCCCCATGAGAGGGCGCTAATGCTGCCTCTACCCACACACCCTGTAATCACATCCTGTGAGCGCACATGAAAGGGTGGCTATGGTTGGACTTCATAGGACCCAGAGGTGGACTGACAACTCATGGGGCCCCCAGGCAATAGGGGATCATGGGGCCCCTGTGTCCTTGCCCAAACTCAAAAAAGCCTATGAAAAAGGTACCAGGGGCAGGGGCCCCCTATGACCCCGGCCCTCATGGGTTTCCAAATGGTCCCCCCCTGAACTGATCCCGAGATCCCTGACCTGGACTTTTTCCTCCAAATGGTCCAAATGGTCCCGCCCCTGATAGGACCTTTCAAGGCAAAGAAGCTACCCGAAAACTGGAAAGCAGGGCCAGTGCTTGGGGAACCAGCTGAATTTGAAGGCTAAATAATTGTTCAACAAGCTATTTCATAACGGTTAAAAATGGCTTCTCCTCTCACTTCTCCAAGGTATGTCTTTCACAGAGATCACAGTACTCCACATGACAATGCCTTCATCTGCTTCTCTCTCCTGAAGGATCGTGCTTTTTCATCATTCATCATCCCCATCTACTTCCCCAAACTGAGATGCCAGTTCAGAGATTAAACAATCATGTAAATCCTGGTGCCTATTAGGCCCCTTTCTCACTAATGGTCTGATCAGGTCTGTCTGTCAGTTTTTCATGCAGACCTGATCAGACCATTCACAGACCTCTATGGACCAGCGGGTGGGAGCAGAAAAGTGTTCATTGAATCCTTCGGCATCTGATCCGATCCTGTACACCAGAGGTATTGAATTAAAATTCAGGGAGGTCCAGTCACTAAAATATTCTTCTGGCCAGGTCCGAAAATAAATGTCTCTGTTAGTGTTCCCGCTTACATCAGATTTCCCCTCCAGAGTAATTTATTACATTGGGTGCCACCATCAGACTTCCCCCATAAATCAGTTGCCACCGTCAGAGTACCCCCCTCTATCAGGCGTTCCCATCAGAGCACCCCCTTAAGTAATGTGTTCCCATCAGAGTCCCCCTTACATCAGGCATTTCCATCAGATTGCCTCCTTACATCAGGCATTCCCATCAGAGTGCCCCCTTACATCAGGCATTTCCATCAGAGTGCCCCCTCGCATCAGGTTTCTTACATCAGAAGGCCTCCTTACATTTGGTGTCTACCATCAGTGTGCCCCATTACATCACTTGTCCCCATTAGAGTGCCCCCTTACTTTAGGTGTGTCGCCATCAGAGTGCAACTTTACATCATGTATTTTACCATCACATCAGTGCCCCTTTATATCAGGTGCCCATCAGTGATATATACTCCTTTACATCAGTTGTCCCCATTATCAGAGTGCTCCTTTTACAAATGCACATCAGTTGTCCCCACATCAGAGTGCTCCTTTACATCAAAGTTGAAGCTTCAAATATAGTGATCCCCATCTTCTGGTGATCAGAATTACGTGCCTCTTTTTGACATCAGGTATCCCATCACATTATGCCCTCTACCTTACATCCCTCTGGTATTGCCGTCAGAGTGCCCCCTTACACTCAAAGTACCCCTTTCCATCATATTTTTCCCCCATCAGTGCCTCTTTGCATCATATTGCCCATCAGAGTGCCCCTTTCTATCACACGTGCCCATCAGAGTGCCCCTTTCCGTTTTATGGATCAAATAAAATATCCCTTATGAAACGGTATCAACACCATTTTGAGCATCCTTTCTTTGGGCTCTTGCAGTATGTGCCCATATGTGACCCTTTAACATAACGTGCCCATCAGAGTGCCCCTTAACATAAAAACTGTGCCCAGCAGTGTTCCCCTTAATATAAAATATGTGTTGCATGCTGATATGCACATTTTAGGCTAAGGGGCACTCTGATTTCTTAGGCACATTTATATTAAGGGGCACTCTTTTGATGGGCACATTATATATTGGATTAAGGGGCACTCTCATGGACACATTTTACGGTAAGGGAAACTCTGATGGGCACATTCTATGTTGTACCCATCAAAGTGCCCCTTAAAAATTAAATGTGCCCATCAGCATTACTCTTTAACATTACATTTGCCCATTAGAGTGCCCTTGAATATAAATGTGCCCATCAAGGTCCCCCAGAAAGAACACACCCTACCTTGAGGGCAGACAGGAACAGGAGGCAGGAGCTTGCCGGGATCCTTGCTGAAGGGGACGGAGGTACCCCAGAGCTTGTGGACAGGCAGGAGCTTGCCGGGAGCCGGGGGGAGAGACAGTGAACTGCAAAGGGCAGAGCACACACGTGATGTAATCGGTTTCCGGGGATGACTGCCCTGCAGAGCAGCGGATCTATCATTCTAGTCTGGGTGGGAGCTCTGCTTGGGCCATTCTCAGATTGCAGTCGACCATTTAGTGACCGCTGCTGTACACCAAAACAGACAGATGGGGATCCGTTCAGATGACAGTCAGGTGGAAATGGACAGGCAGCCAAGATCAAAACTGGGCCCTAGGCATTGAGAAAAATAAAAATGCGGTGCAACAGCAGACTCAATGGACCACTCAGTCTTTTTCTGCCATCACTTTTCTATGTTTCACTTTGAATGCCACAGTGAAAGGGGGGGGGGATTAAATTGTACTAAATGTTGGGTGTGGCTTAAATGGGGTGTGGTTAAATAGAGTCTGAAATGAATTACATTGTGTAGAATGTGGTGAGACTAAATTGGGAATGTGCAGCACAGAATGAGAGGGCAAAGATGCAAATCCTTCCAGATATATATATATATATGTATCAGGGGAATTGTATGAAGTCAATGAGCCTGTGTTCAAAATCATAAGCTGGGCCCCATTGCTTGATACTAAAAAAAAATGCAGTGTGCTTTGTGCACCATAAGGAAGAGTGGGCATGGTTTTCAAAGTGCCAGGGATGTTGCTAGGATTAGGGAGGGAGGGAGGTTGCT